TGGGCTGCCACCAGGACATGGAGCTCTATGGGCACTGCTGTGACTGGTGTATGGCCAAGAAAGGGCAGCAGCAGCTGTCACACGTGTTAAGTTGCAACCCCCTCTGCTCCGGCACCGTGAAAGAGTGAGTAGCCGTGGATGTCCTGGGCCTTTCCTACCACCAAGGCCAGGAGCCGCTATGTGCTCGAGCCCATGGATTATTTCACTAAATGGCCTGAGGCATTTGCTGCCCCAGACCAGAATGCAGCCACGATGGCGGAGCAGGTGGTAGAGGAGTTTTTTTTGCCAGTTTGGCATGCCAGAGAAACTCCACAGTGACAAGGTGTGCAACTTTGAATCGGCTGTCATGGCTGAGGTTTGCAACTGGCTGGGTATGCAGAAGACCCAGACCTCACTGCTCCACTCTCAGAGTGATGGCCTCGTGGAGTGCTTCAACTGAACACTCATTACTCAGCTGACCATCGTCCCTGACCAGCACCAGCACAATATACATAGACCAGCATTACACCTTGGCCTGCTGGCGTGCACTCGTTCCACTGTGCAGAAGTTGAGTTCACACTTCTCATGTTCGGCGAATTGAAATGCGAATGTGGCTCATGCTGTCAATGGAAACTCCTGCTGCCAGGAGTGTGGATGTGGCTGTACAACCCATTTCACAGGAAAGGGTGCTGCCCAGTGCTGCAGTCACCCGGGGGGGGCAACTGTGTGGTAAGAGAATGACTGGGCAAGGAGATGTATTGGGTCTGGGCAGGGCAGTGGACTGTAGTTCATAGGGACAGACTTGCCCCATACTGGCCCCATGTAGAGGAGGCCATGCCAGACCAGTAGGGACAGTTATCTCAGAGGCCCCACCCCGAGGAGGAGTTGGAAGTGTCCAGGGCAGCAAGGACAGCATTCTGAGACCCCTGCCATGGGGTCCACAGACCACAGCGAGGGGGACATCTTCCATTGCACTTTAAGAACTTTATTTGTGCATGTGGGTTGCATGAATGACATTTGAAGGGGAGGCAATGTGGAATTGTTCATGCCTGGGTTGTGTTTTAGTGTTGTTGTTACTTCTGTAGCTTTTATTTAGCTGTGTCGCTTTCGGGAACTTTTTGGGGGATTTTTTAGGTGCAGTGAGTGTGTGATAGAAGACTTCAGCATTAGACTTTAAGCATAAATTATGGCCTCTCCTGACTCTTCTTCTAAGAGTTGTCACAATAATAATAATGACAATATTAAATAGGTTACATTTTTGTAGTGCCTCAAGGTCGGTCTACATAAAAAAATAAGCACTGCAAAAACAGGTAAGTTTTGAGTTGTGTTGTGAAGGCAAAAGCAGAGGTGAGATTATGGGGATTCTAAGATGTGAGTTCCAAAGTTTAGGAGCTGTAATGCTGAATATCCCAGCACCAAACAAGGACAATCTGAACTGGGGCACTTTAAGCAAATCAGTATCCAAAGACCTTAGAGTAAGGGCTGGGGTGTAAAGATGGAGAAGTTCAGCAATGTATAGAGAGGCAAGTCCATATATGGCTTTGAAGGTTATGAGGTGTAGTTTGGACTGTATATGCAAAGAGACAGGTAACCACTGCATTTTGTAGAGAGTAGGTGTAAGACCACACATAGCATTTTGTGTGAGTGAGGACTCTCGTTGCTGAGTTTTGAACATACTGTAATTTAGTGAGGAGTTTAGCTCAGAGACCAGAAAGAGGCTCATTACAGTAATCTAGACAAGAAAATTATGGACCAGAATTTCTGCGTCATTGCTACCGAGCCTGGAACAGAGTCTGAAATTTTTACAGAGGCAATGGAAAATGGTCTTAATAAGTAAGCTGATATAATAGTCAAACAACATAGAGGAATCAAAGATGACACCAAAAGTACCAATAGTTTCTGAGGGTTTTATATGTACTCCATCAATGTCAAAGTGCCAAGAACAGAACTTTGGGGCACACCTTGAGCAACATGAGCAGTGCAGGATTTATGTTGTTTATTAGTTATTAAACAGTTACCAGTGAGGCAGGAATTAAACCAGGAAAGAGCTGTAACTGAGATGCCAATAGCAGAGAGATGGCCAATGATTATGTCATGAGCAACTGCATTAAAAGCATAGCTGAGATGTAGAAGAAGATCACTAAGGCTACGTTTACACAGCAGGTAAAAGTGGCCCAAATCCGATCTTTTTCCTCAAATGTGACACAGATGTGTCATCTGTGTGTCAGTGTAAACAGCAAAAAACACATTAAATCTGACATTTTCAATTCCGATTTGAGACGCTTTCATATGTGGTACTGAAATCCAATACGTATCTGATCTGCGGCAATGCGACTCAGTCTGAACAGCCAGATCGGAATTCATGCGACTTTTACGTCAGTCCAACTCGACATTCGTCATAATTTCGTGCTGCTGAGACTCATAAACATTTAGGCTGATGTACTAAAAAATTAGAGGAGACTCATCGCAGCTGCTCCATGTTTGAAGAGGTTTCGAACGAAACAGCCGAGCGCAGCCAGAGGAGACCGAGGCTGCAGCGTCAGAGTTTAAAGATTTGGAGCACACGAACCAAAGAAGTGGCCGTGGCCGAACACATTCTGGGTGATGAGCCCAGCTCTCAGTCATTGGAAGTTCACTCGCTCCTGTGATGCTGGCGAAGATGAAACCGGGAGCAACTAGTGTTTGCTAGTCATCATGATTGTTTACCTCTGGATGAGCCACGTGAAGCATTCTTTGAGCCACGTGAAGCATTCTTTTGTGCATGCGGGTCGGTTTATGAGCTGATCTGTTCGGACTGATGTCGTATACAGGTCATATTTAAAAGATAATGTGAACAGGTAAACAAAAAAGTCGGATTTGGTGAGAAAATCAGATTTGGGCCACTTTTACCTGCTGTGTAAATGTAGCCTAATTGCTCCAGAATCAGAGGCATATGAAAGGTCATCAACAATCCTATGGAGAACTGTCTCTGTACTATGGCATGAAATGAAACCAGACTGGAACCATTCAGACAGATTATTTGATGCTAGATGACTGTAGCTAAAATCTTTTGCAATAACTTTTTTTCAATAGTTCAGCAGTGAAAGGAAGATTAGAGATTGGTTAGTAAGTATTTAAAGTTGAATTATTTATAGTTGAATCTAAACCAAGGTTCAACCAACTGCAGCAGTTTTCAGCTCTAATAGGACAATTCTGGATGTAGTAAGGAAGCAGGTGCAGGATCTTACTGGCGGGTTGTGGAGTAACATTTCTTAATTAACATTGAGATGCCTGATGAAGTGGCCAGAGTGAATTCATAGAAATCACAGAAAGAAATTCCTGTAGTTCAGTGTCATGTAGATTTATCAAGTTTATCGAAAAGGTTACAGATAGAATAAATTTTATAATGGAAAAAGTGGAGAAATGCCTCACATAACTCAGCAAAGCCAGAAATATTAGATCCAGGGGGGATAATGAGTTTGTTAACTCTGAATTCAATGACCAAATGATCAAAGATACCAATCTTGGAACCAACAACACTAACATCATTTAGACCAGAGTAACAAACCAAATCAACTGTGTTCTGATGAGAGTGAGTAGGAAGATCTACATGCTGAGTTAAATAAAAGTGTTCCAATACAATTCTGAGGTATGGAGCAACAGCACAGTTTGAACTGACATGTATGTGAAAGTCATGAAATAACAGAGACACTGCAAAGATTAGAGTGAATAATTCATTAAGTTCAGTTGGAAAGTCAGGGTGTGAATTTGGGGGGGTGGTAGACTAAAACCACAACTAAAAGGGCTGGGCTAACCACTTTGTCACATATTCAAAAGATGAGACATCATTTAGAGCTATAACCACAATATTTAGACTAATTTGAAAAACAACAGCCAGTCCGCCACCCCTAATCCAAAGAGATGACTATAACCAGATGACTATAACCAGGAGGAGTAAGGAGGTTCGGGTGTACATAAGGTGTTTGCTGTTTCCATAAGAAGCAACATGTCCAGATTTTTGTGTGTAATGATGTCACAGAGAAATGTCACATTTTTTAAAGGACCGACAACTTAAAGCACAAGATGAACTCACATTCTATGTGTTCTGTATACAGTAAGAATGATCTTTCAAACAGTTAAAGTTTATCTCACATTGCACAAATGATAAATTCAAACAATCTCCAATCTGTTGAACAGATAGAGGGAATAGCAGAAGATGTTGAACAGTAATAGTTCAGGTTGTGTCTAAAAGAGCCTTGGGCGACATACAATTCCAAGCACCTTGCAATAATCATAAATCATGGAATCAAGACCTAGACTTAAAGCCACAAAGCTGTGATGGCGTATACCTATACTTTTTTATTTATTCATTTTTTTATGTGTTTGTGTCATGGATGCTTCACTGAAACAGCAATATGAAAAGAACGTTTTTCTAAAGTGAAATTACTACTCAGAAAATTTTAAAGGGAACAATAGTTACAGTTTCAGTTTTCTTTATTAAACTTAAAAGATTTACAATATAATAGGACAATATAAAGAGATCCAATTTGAACAGTTCATATAAGCTCAACTATTTAAAATACATTCAGAGATATAGAAAAGCTAATTATTCACCACAAACACAGACCTTAATGCTGAAAAATTACATTTACAACACTTCTGCATCCAACTGACTTTCACTTCAAATACATATATTTATTAAACATGTGTACATAACACTCAGAGAGTCAATATTACAAAAAATAAGAGCACATCATGACTTATGCAAGGAGTGATTTGTAATTTAAGCTCTAGCAAGAAACATATTAATGATGAAATAAATTTATTTTGTAAATAAGTTCACCAAATATTCTTGAAAGCAATAATCTATAACTTACTAGATTTAATGCATAGATAAAGATTACAGATCTGCAGTTGAGTTCAACAGGTTTCCTCTGATTTCCTAACATGGATTAGAATGGAAAGTCAGTGTTGGAAGGTGTGTAATGTTTTCATCTTGATCAACACAAAATAACTGCAATTTATTGCTGCGGTGCTTTGGAAATGAAGGGTTTAGACAGATGAATCTGGGTTTAGCTCTGTAAGTGTTGGGATTTCTTATTTTGATTGGATGGTGTTGAGGTTTCAGTTCTGGGAGGCTGAATGTAATTGGATGGTGTTGGGGTTTAGACCCTGATAGACAGAATCTGATTGGTTGGTGTTGGGGTTTAGGCCCTGATAGACTGAATCTGGTTGGTTGGTGTTGGGGTCCAGGCTCTGGTAGATTGGAGCCATGCTGATCTTGTTCCGGTTTTTAGGAAGACCATTTTCATAATCATTATCAGCCTGCAACCACAATAACACACACAATGAAAAAATAACTCAAACCTTAGTCTTCACATCATGTTCATTCATTCATACAGAATAATTGCCTATGTGGCCATTAAACCAAGGGTTTCCATCTCTGGCCCTGAAGATCTACTGCCATGGAGATTGTAGGATAAATACACTTGACTCTAATATTCAGATGCTTCTAAAGTCCTTGATTATCTAGATCAGGTGTGTTAGATTAAGGTTGTATCCAAACTTTTCAGGGCAGGACTTTACCAGGAACAGGGTTGGGAACCTCTCTATTACACCTACAAAAAAACAAATACTGTTTACACATTATAATTAATTTGACAATATCTATTTATAGTTTCCTACTGTGCCGTATGAAGATTGCAGTGTACACAGTCTTGTGTCCTCCATAGCAATATTTTATTGCTTTAATAAGTAGACGATCTCGTAATTGAACATTTTATCTGTATATTTTACTGTAGCACGGCATGTGCTACCCCGGGCTCAAGGAGGACGCTGGAGGCAGGGTTCAGGGTTGCAGCAGCCATATTTCTTTAATCACACAAAACAAACAATACAACTCAAACAAACCAACACTGCTCTATGCTAGGCTGGCCACTTTTCAGTGGCTTCAGCCAGACTTTTCAGTCCTTCTCCTAAATAAGCTTTTCAGCTCTTCTGTCTCTTGCTGCTGCTCGTCCCTCTCTCTCTCTCTCTCTCTCTGTTCCCTCTCAGCTCTTTTAAAAGGCTCTCATTAAGGGCAGGGTGAGCCCCTGAGCCGAGAGGGAACAAGAGCTCGCTGCTCCACCTCCTTGTCACCGCCCCCAGCTGGCAGCTCACCCGCCCGGGTCGAACGTGAGGTGTAATGAAGCGGCCTCGCTGCGTAACAGAGGGCGGGGCCCAGGTGGCGGAGCTGGGGACTCGCTCCTTGCCCTGTGCCTCTCGTTGCCGGCGCCATCGTCGTCTTCCTCCTCCTCCCGCCATCACTTGCGTCACTCGGGTTACTCGCAGGAGCTCGGGCTTTGCGCTCCACCCCCTCCCCACTCGCGGCTCTCTCCCTGCCGTCCTGGCCGAGGTTCATCGCCGCTGGTTGTTCGGGCCCCGCCTTCCTGCCGGCTCTCGCGGCCGTCATCATCAGGGCCCGGGGGGCGGGCGCATGCCACATTTACATTGTTGTTTGTGGTTTGCATAATATAGAAAATGACACCACCATCCTCCACATGTAAGTCATTATAGGTAAGAGCATCTTCCAAATTGTCATGCATTCCTCTGGATCTGACTCTCTAGAGAACTCCAATTCCCAGAACTCCCTTGGAAATCACATGACTGCTGCTCCACCATTCATAGCCAATGGACATTGTCCTTTACCCAATCTGTCACTCCTGTTCTGTTTGCCCCATTAGTTAGTATAGAGTAGTTAGTATATAAGCCCAGGCTTTTAGGTTAGAACTCTGTGAAGTATTGCTTCTTTCCTGTGAGCTACTGAGCATTCTCTACTGTTTTTGTCTTTTGTGTATTTGGACTGTGTCTTTAACCTTTCAACTTTGACTTTTGTCTTTGTCCATCGAATCTTGTTTGCCTGTTTCTGTGTTTTATGTCATTTTGCCTTTTTGGACTGTTTTGGATTTGATCTGTGCCTGTTTTCTGACAACGAGCTTAGATCACGTTTCAAACAGTAAAACCTCTTTTTCTAATGCATCTGTGATCGTATGATCAGTCGTGTCACGTTACACAAATGACACAGCTGTAAATCAAATGGTGTTGTGTTCAGTTGGAATAAATACAATACTTACAGACTCTGTATTCTCATAAAACAGTGCTGAATGCTACTGACTTACACTTTTACATTTTAAAACACTTCATATTTGGTTATAATGAGACGCAGATTTAAGACTCTGTTTTTAATGAGTCTTTTCACTCACTGTGTTCTGTGTTCTTCTCTCAGTGTTTGTAGAGACAGACCCTGCAGAACAATTGAAGATGTTAATCAAAGAGCTGTTTTCCACAAGACTGGTGAATTTAATCTTCAACAGAGGAAATCTTTCATAACTGATTTTATAACTAATTTATACTCATATTAAAGTATTACATTCCTACCAAAGCTGCTTTTATGTGTCTATGGGTGTGTGTTTAGTACCTTGTGTCCTGTTGTGAATCAATTTGTAGATCAGCGCTGATTCTCCAATCACTACAATCAGCAGCAGAGCCACACAGACACTCAAAGTGATGAGCAAACCTGAGGAATCTGTCATCAAGAAAAAGACATGAAACATAATCATATTCATTACAGTTCAAAGAAAATTGTAAAATTTTATAAAAAGACACTTAAAACACATTGCACATTTATTTTTAATCTAATGTCCAGTTTTCACACAATCTTCATTACATTATGATTTTTTTCCCCAAAGGAATGAATCGGATACAAAAATTTGTATTTTTTCTCATCCTTCATTTCTCCCATAGATTTGTTTGCCCCATTAGCTAGTATAGAGTAGTTAGTATATAAGCCCAGGCTTTTAGGTTAGAACTCTGTGAAGTATTGCTTCTTTCCTATGAGATACCAAGTATTATCTAGTGTTTTTGCCTTTTGTGTATTTGGACTGTGTCTTTAACCTTTCAACTTTGACTTTTGTCTTTGTCCTTTGAATCTTGTTTGCCTGTTTCTGTGATGTGAAACAGGCAAACAAGATTCAAAGGACAAAGGATACAAAAATTTGTATTTTTTCTCATCCTTCGTTTCTCCCATAGATTTCCATTTAATTTTGCCCCACACAGGCCCAATTATGTCTTTTCCCAACAGCCATCAAATTGTGTGTACTCACTCAGGACAGGTCCTCAAACTCTACTGCACAGCCATACTGACCTGCCCTCCTCTATATGTCATTTTTTCATCCCTCATTCCTCCCATATAGTCCCATTCATTTTCACCCCCAACAAAGCCCTAATCTTTCTTTTTCCCAACAGCCACCAAACTGCATAAACTCACAGCCATACTGACCCACACTCCTCTATGTGTTGTTTTCTTATCCTTTAATTTCCTCCAATATACATCCATTCATTTTCTTCCACAGACAAGCCGTATACTTTCCTTTGAATGACAGCCTCCAAACTGCATGTACTCACTCAGGTTACCAAACTTTAATCCACCACCTCACTGACCTGCACTCCTCTAGGTGTCGATTTTCCATTTCTCTTTCCTTCCATAGAGTCCCATTCATTTTTGCACACACCCCAGCCCTATTATTTCCTTTATTCGACAGCCACAAAACTCATTTTTTCATCCCTCATTTCTCCCTTAGACTTCTATTGATTTCCGTATCAAGTTAAGCCCTAATCTTTCTTTTACCTGACAGACACCAAAACTATGTGTAGTCACTAAGAAAAAGGCCATCAAGTTCTAATCCAGAGTGATACTGACCCACACTCCTCTATGTCTCATTTTTTTCATCCTTCATTCCTCCCATACACTCTCATTCATTTTAACCCACACACAAGCCCTAAACTTTCTTTTGTCCTACATGGAACTACATGAACTCACTCAGAGGGTCGCAGGTCTCCAAGCTGTAGTCAACAGCCTTACTGATCCACACTTACTGATGCTGTAGTCAACAGCCTTACTGATCCACACTCCTCTATGTGTTGTTTTATCATTGCTTGGTACTCCCATAGACTCCCATTCATTTTAACAACAACTAGCAAACACTTGGCAACCCCCTAACAACCACTCAGTAAACACCCCTCATGCCATAGCAACTAAATAGAAAACACCTTAGCAACTGCCTAGCAACAAACTTCAGCTGCAGAATCACTTCATTTTCTACAGGTAATGCACTATTCTAGTTACGTCTGTTAACCATGTAGTTTACTTGATCTGAGTTACTATATTAGTTCATCTGCCTATTCATTCTATGAAGGTTCTTTATCCAGTGTTAACTCCTGCAGGAACAACCAATGCCTTCTCATGTTCTTTCATTAGTAACAGAGAACTGTGTGTGGGTATATATATATATATATATATATATATATATATATATATATATATATATATACATATATATATATATATATATATATATATATATATATATATATATAATATATATATACCCACACACAGTATCTCACAAAAGTGAGTACACTGCTCACATTTCTGCAAACATTTTATTATATCTTTTCATAGGACAACACTATAGAAATGAAACTTGGTTATAACTTAAAGTAGTCAGTGTACAGTTTGTATAGCAGTATAGATTTACTGAAAAGAACTCAACACACAGCCATTAATGTCTACATAGCTGGCAACACAAGTGAGTAAACCTCACAGTGAACATGTCCAAATTGTGCTCAGAGTGTCAATATGTTGTGTGACCACCATTATTATCTAGCATTGCCTTAACCCTCTTGGGCATGGAATTCACTAGAGCTGCACAGGTTGCTACTGGACTCCTCTTCCACTCATCCATGATGACATCATGGAGCTGGTGATAGTTAGACACCTTGCGCTCCTCCTCCTTCCGCTTGAGCATGCCCCACAGGTGCTCAATTGGGTTTAGGTCTTACTTGACCAGTCCATCACCTTTACCTTCAGCAAGGCAGTTGTCATCTTGGAGGTGTGTTCGGGGGCGTCATTGTGTTGGAAAAATGCCATGCAGCGCAGTTTCTGAAGGGAGGGGATCACGCTCTACTTCAGAATGTCACAGTACATGTTGGAATTCATGTTTCCATCAAAGAACCGCAGCCCCCCAGTGCCGGCAGCACTCATGCAGCCCCAGACCATGATGCTACCACCACCATGCTTGGCTGCAGGCAAGATACAGTTGTCTTGGTACTCCTCACCAGGGCGCCACCACACATGCTAGACACCATCTGAGCCAAACAAGTTTATCTTGGTCTCGTCAGACCACAGGACATGGTTCCAGTAATCCATGTTCTTGCACTGCTTGTCTTCAGCAAACTGTTTCCGGCCTTTCTTGTGCATCAGCTTCAGAAAAAGCTTCCTTCTGGGATGACGGCCATGCAGACCGAGTTGATGCATTGTGTGGCATATGGTCTGAGCACTGACAGGCTGACCTTCCTCTTCTTCAACCTCTGCAGCAATGCTGGAAGCACTCATGCATCTATTTTTTGAAGACAACCTCTGGATTTAACGCTGAACACGTGGACTCAATTTCTTTGGTTGACCCTGGGAAGGCCTGTTCCAAGTGGAACCTGACCTGGAAAACTGCTGTATGACCTTGGCCACCTTGCTATAGCTCAGTTTCAGGGTGTTAGTAATCATCCTATAGCCTAGGCCATCTTTGTGGAGAGCAATAATTCTATTTCTCACATCCTCAGAGAGTTCTTTGCCATGAGGTGCCATGTCGAATATCCAGTGGCCAGTATGAGAGAATTGTACCCAAAACACCAAATTTAACAGCCCTGCCCCCCATTCACACCTGGATCCTTGTAACTCTAATGAGTCACATGACACCAGGGAGGGACAACAAAAAAATTGGGCACAATTTGGACATGTTCACTGTGAGGTGTACTCACTATATTGCTATACTGTAACATCTTACCAGACTGACTTGTGATTTCTCTCTTCTCTGCTGTGGATTTCACTGAGAAAACAGAAAATGAGGTGAGTAATAGTACACTACCACATTTCCACAATATTTGAGTTGAAATAACTGTGTCTGTTGCTAGAGTTAAAATATTCTTTTAGAATTATCAAAGCAGATTATGCTGTAGCCAATTAATAAGCTCATAGTATCATCAGAAAAGAGGGGATATTATAATTGGTACAAATATACAAACCCACTGTAACACTGAGCTGCTGTGTTGAAAATTGTCAAAATCAAGTATAAACATGTTCTTATGTTCTAAGAGTCTTTACAGTTGACACTAAGATAAATTAATTACCTTCAATGCTGAGTCTGATGTTGATGGACTGTTTGTTGTTGATTGAACATCTGTATGTTCCCTGGTCTTGTTCAGTCAGGTTGAAGATAAGTAAAGATAGATATGCTGGAAGGTTCTTATTAAACATGTGGACTCTGCCTCTGTAGAGCTCCGTCTCATTGGATACCTCAGTCCCTCCTGAGTCTACACGCTCCCATTTCACACTTACAGGTTTGGTGTGTTGGTCAGTGCAGGAGCAGGGCAGGAGAACAGACTCTCCTGGAGATCTGACAATCACTCTATCCTGAGTCTCTGACAGTGTGCAGCCTGCAGGAACATAAACCAGCACAGTTTTTCTGTTCTGTTCATTACTGTTCCAGTTTACAATAAGGGTTGTAAATTAAAGACTAATTGTGTCATTAATAAGTCATAAATTACTCATTATTTAAACATTACTAAAGTATTCATTAAGCATTAGTTATTACATAGTAATTGATAATGTAATTAATAATTAGTAATTGACTACACTGTTAACTGATATTTTAGTTTGTCATTAGTTCACAGCTTATTTACTCACTTTGCACTAGCTGCTGCGTATTATGCTGTTAATGAACAGATGAGTGTGTTTACTCAGATAAACAAATAACATGGAAACTAACTAGTACTTATGAATTAGGACTGTTTATTATCTGTTAATTATTCTACTGATTTATTGTTACATTTTTCATGCAATGTTCTGTCTTGTATGGATCATAGTACTTGTGCATGGGAGATATATAAAACAACCAAATATGGCATTTGAGAGAAAACAGAAGTAATACTGCTCATTCAAAGACACATGTAAACAGTTAATAAACTAATAATAAATGACAGAGTGATGTACGCACTGGAGCAATACCAATAGAAAATTCAATCTTAGATCCTTAAGTAATCTGCCATTGGATGTGATGTGCAAGTGTGAAGGATTTATTTTAGTTTAATAAATAACGGATCATTTAGAATAAACATTAATTGGTAATGTATATATATTTTCCATTCAATCTCTGTCACTCGGCATTAAGTCAAGCTTGTTCAGGTGTTAGCGTCGGACTCCGCCAAGGTTGTGCCTTGTCTCCACTCCTGTTTGTGATATTCATGGACAGGGTGTCAAGGCATAGCTGAGGTCAGGAAGGCATTATGTGTGGAGGCCAGAGGGTGGCGTCTCTGCTATTTGCAGATGATGATGTCCTTTTGGCTGGATCGCATGGATGTCTCCAGTACTTATTGGAGCGGTTTGCAGCTGAGTCTGAAGCAGTTGGAGTCCATGGTCCTAGCCTGGAAAAGGTTGGCATGCCCACTCCAGGTAAGGGGAAAGGACCTGCCCCAGGTGGAGGAGTTTAAGTATCTCGGGATCTTGTTCATGAGAGATGGGAAGATCGTGAGATCTGCCGCAGGCTGGGACAGGCGGCAGCAGTAATGTGGTCACTATACCAGACTGTAGTGGTGAAGAAGGAGCTGAGCCATAAGGCAAAGCTCTCTGTTTACTGGTTGGTCTACATCCTGACCCTCTATGGTCACGAGTTTTGGGTAATGACAGAAAGAAGTCTAAACCGTACTTGATAGAGTGAGGAGCTTAGCCATCTGGGAGGAGCTCAGAGTAGAGCCGCTACTCCTCTGCATTAGGAGAAGCCATTTGACGTGGTTCAGGCATCTGATCCGGATGTGCCTGGACGCCTCCTTGGGGTGTTTATCAGGCACAGCCTACTGGAACGAGACCCCCGAGTCATCCTAGGACCCGCTGGAGGGATTATATCTCCAAGTTGTCCTGGGAGCGGCTTTGGGTTCCCTGGAATGAGCCGGAGGAAGTTGTGGGGGACAGGGTCGTCTGGGATTCTCTGCTTTCCCAACTGTTACCATGGACACTAAGTACTAATTAATTAACAAATAAATCAGTAGATTAATTAACAAATAATTAGTGGCACTTACTCATCAGTACTAGTTAGTTCTTATGCTACTTCTTTATAATAAGCAGCAGTTAGTACACAGTTGAGTAAATAAGCTATGAACTAATAATAAACAAAACAAATATTAATTAACAGTATTCAAAATTACTAAATATTAAGTACTTAATCAAAAACTAAGTAATTAGTAATGAGAGTTCTCTCCTTAAAAGTGTTGAAGTATGATGGCTTTTGGCCCTGCATGTTTCTAACCTACTTACTGTGTGTGCTCTTGTGGCTAGAAGGACCATCCATGAAAGTCCACAACAGGTTAATAATGAAAAATGAACAGTTAAAAACAAACAGATTTTGAGAGCATTGACTAAAAATGTACAATTTCTGTCAAAAACAGTAGAAGACAACATGTTTGTTTTGGTTTACAAAGATTTATATAAATTGCTAACAGCTTCCAGTAGAGCCTCACAGTAGGTTTACTCAGAATAACTTGATACTGTAGAACAATAAATTCTCTTTATATGTATTGTCACATTTCCATGATTGGAGGAGGAAACACAGCTTCTGATCACTGTGTGCTTTATTCAAGGATGTGTCTGGCTCAAGTCTTGCCTCACACATGGAATAAATATGCTAACAGAGCACACTATGCCTAAGTTGCATCAAGCTCAATTGGCCATCAGCCCTGCTCCCCATGAACTCCTCATAAACAGTCCAAAAAAGCTTCATAATCAGAGTCCCTGGAGAAAATAACTGCTGCAGAACAAATAATCAGAATAAATAATTTCTGAACCCGTTACACTACCCACCCCTTGGAAAAGTCCTGACCCTCAAAGTACCACAAAGAACCAAACAGGGATCCACCCCCTATTTCTGGGGTGTGCCAGGATTGGAAATCCCCAAGGCTGGGAAGTAGTCTGCAGTGACTGGGGCTGGAGAAACGCTTTGGGAAGAGAATCAAGTTCGCTGGGGTTATCCCCCAGTGGGGTTAGCTGCCCCACTTGGGCTGGTCTGTGCACCGGGCTGTTCTAGCACTGCTACAGGAGACTGAGACAGCATTTCTCTTGTGTGGTCTTCTTGTGGTCCTGTGCAGCCCCTATAAGGGCCTAGCCTGTCATGATGTAGTGCCACTGTGCATCCATGCCCTTCTTTTTGTTTGGGCTGTAGACCCATATGAGCTCACCTACTGCGAAATGCTGACCATAAGCAGGTCTTTGTTCCTTTTCTGTTGCATGCTGGAACTCAGCAGTTGCTTGTGATGTTGTGAACTAGGCTACTGGTGCTAATGTTAACTTGGTTTAAAAACGAAGTCTTGTTGGTGCACCATCCACTGAGGAGAAAATACCTTGTGACAAGAAGTCCTCATCAGCATCCAACATGATGCTTGTTTGTTCTGTTCTAAAGAGGCAGCCTTGGTTACTCATCCAACATGAAAAATTACCTTGTTTCCCTTTGCTGTTTTTCAATAATAAAACCTGTTCCTCTGTGTGCTGCTATAAAGAGTGTGCTGACAGAGGTGATCCTCTGTCCCTACACTAGTTACAGCCATTTTTCCCCTTTGTAGTTTACTGGATGAACTTGTACACTCGATACTCAAATATCAACATTAGTCAGAAGGCATATTCCAAAAACCCAAGGTTTTTGGCCATATGCAAACAGCACAATCAGACATGGAAATCAAACTTGAAGCAGTTCCCCAATCAAGAGTTAATACAAACAGTATACACCACCATCAGACACCAACTCCAGACAGGTGGCACTGCATTCAGACTACACACAGAATATTACAGAGAAAAATATCACCAACAAGGCACACATATATGTGCACAAACATGTGACCACATACATTAAACTTTTTGGCATGCTGTGAATTCGGGTGCACTTCAAGAGATGCTTAATTAATACCACGTAGTGTAATAACATCACACACTTTACTGCTAAATAGAAAACACAATAAGTTCCCTGGACAAAAATTAGTCAAATTCATCATTTATTTTCTAATACTTGGCTAATGAGTAGTTATTAACCCAGGACACAGTTAGCATTTGTTTTAAACACTTCTAATTTATAAATAATCCTAGAGACTATGTCAGTCAAGCGGTAGCCACAGCTTCGTTAGTGGATAGCACAAATCAAACACTCAAGTCCAACCAGTTCTCCATCACTAGACTAAGGAAAATGCGGAATATCACAGGCCTGTCACCAAGTTTATTGTAAAAGATATACAGCTGCAACAGAAATTGTTCCAATTTACAACCCAGTTTCCTAAAAAGTTGAGACACTGTGCAAAAAGTTTGGTGTTGTCTTGCTGACATAAGCAAAGCCTTCCCTGAAAGAGACATCATCTAGATGCCTGCATATGGTGCCAAAACCTGTATATATCATTTAGCATTAATAGTGCCTTTACAGATGTGCAAGTCACCCATGCTAATGTGCACTAATGCCCCCCCATACTATGACATATGCTGGCTTTCGAACTGTGCGCTGATAAGTAGCTGGAAGGTCTCTCTCCCCTTTAGTCCATGATTTCCAAAAAGAATTTCACATTTTGATTCATTGGACCACAGGATACTTTTCCATTTTTTCTGATTATCTTAAACAAGCTTGGGCCCAGAGAAGGTGGCGGTGTTTCTGGTTTCTTCCTTGCATGGTTGAGTTTTAAATGGATGCAGTGACAAACTGTGTTCACAGACACTGGTTTTCGGAAGTGTTCCTGAGCCCAAGCAGTGATTTCCACTACAGAATCATGTCTGTTTTTAATGCAGTGCCACATAAGGGCCCAAAGATCACGGCAATCGAATATTGGTCTTTGGCCTTGTCTCTTGCATACAGAGATTTTTTCCAGATGCTTTGAATCTTTTAACGATAGTATGTACTGTAGACGATGAAATCCCCAAGTTCTTTGGTATTTTATCTTTACAGAACCATGCTGCCTTTCACACAGTAGTGAACCCCTCCCCCTCTTTACTTCTGAAAGGTTTAGCATCTCTGGGAGGCTATACCCAAGCATGTAACTGATCTGTTGCTTATTACACAACATTATCAGTCTTTTGTTGCCCCTGTACTAAGTTTTTGAAAGTGTTGCTATCATTAAATGCAAAATAGACAAATATTTAAAAAAATCTCAATTTCACCATTTAATGTGTTGTATTTGCCAATAAAATATATGGTTTAAATGATCTGCCTATTGTATTCTGTTTTTATTTACATTATACAGCGTCCCAACTTTCTTGGAAATTGGTTGTAGAACAGAAAAGCACTTGTAGGCATAGATGAGGTATTTCAACATTACATAAATATAACTTAAGGAAAAGGAAGTTGATTTTGTTATTCCTAATGATATAGTGATACATTTAAGTGTATATTTAAATGAAATGTGTTTTAGAAACAAAAACTTTTTTTTGTTAAAGTTTAGTTAGTGATTTTGAGTAGAATTTAAAATGCATTTAAGTGCATTTAATTGCAGTATAACTCAATAGGTAGCACTGATGTGTACTGGTATATGTAGTATACATTTATAATATAACAGTTATGTCTACAAAGAAAATGCCTAAATCACTCAATTGCTACCTAGCATGACTAAAAGAATTTAGTAATCATAGCTTAATCACTACATAAACACATTTAAATTTTCATGAGTCGTTACAAAAGATATATATATATATATATATATATATATATATATTAGAGTGTTTATGTACTTTTCACATTTAAATGCAGTTTCTTTCATAAGGTGGATGGTCACTGCTCTGCACCACTTTGCAGCTGCCTCGAGCTGTTAGGAACTGATGCATGATGCAAGCATCATTCTTCATTAGTGATTCATCATAACATCAGCAGTATTGTATAGTGTGAGCACTAACCAGGGCTCAAGGTTTGTTTACATGCTGTATTATGATGATCATAAATAAAGGTGCAGGGAGGGCTCTGTCCAAGCTTCTGAACAGATTAAAACCTATTTATCAATTCTGATCCAGATGTTACACAACAAGTGAACAAATCACACAGCATAAATCTAAATAACTAACATTTCTAATAAAAAAATAATACAGGACTAATACAGGTCTACTACTTCAATGACAAAATCCTTTTTCCAAGTGCTTTAGCTACTTTAGCTGTTCTTTATACATCGATTATTTCTTCTAGCCTTTATTTATTTAATTATCTAACTATTTTCTTACTTCTGGTTTTTAGTAGGTTTTTAGTCAGCAGATGTGTGAATGTGAGAGAGACAGAATTCAGCAGTTTACCTTTAACAGTGAGGCTGAAGTTCCTGTACTGATTCTGGTTTATCCAGCATGAATATGTTCCTCCGTCCTCTTCAGTCAGGTCTGAGATCAGTACAGAGAGATTTCCTGGAGAGCTCTGGTCAAACGTCTGAACTCGGCCGCTGTAGCGCTGAAGGAGATCTTCATGGTTTGGTGTTCTCCACTGAACTTTCACAGGTCTGTCCTGCAGGTCAGTGCAGGTGCAGGACAGAAGAACAGACTCTCCTGAGGATCTGCTGACTGGAACAGTCTGTTTATTCTCTGACAGAGCGCAGCCTAAAACAACAACACACAGCATTTAACTGACCAGAAAATACATTATGTATCATATACATAATGTATTTGTACATAACCAGTTAATCATAAATGAATTACATTTGCAGTGTTTCAGCAATTTTGGATATAGTGAGCTTGTTATAAGAATAATAGCTGATGTTCATGGAAAACATTTTATTTCAGTGACAAAGGTGATATTAACCATAATACAGCAGTGATATTTCCTATATGTATAAAGCTCACTCACAACAACTTGTATCACAAAAAAAGAAAAGTTTTGAAAGTGGTTTATAATGTATTTGATAACAAAACTTTTAATTTGAAGTGGTGTAATTAAATATAAAATTAAAATATTGTAAAGTTTGACTGATACCTGAAGAGATTTATGACAAATTTATGATTAGGAGAAAATGTCTAGTTTTCCTGAACATCACTTTCATGCACCTTAAAATACACCTCATGTCTAGAGCTGCAACTATTGATTATTTTCATTTTTAAATAGCCCATACGAAGTGATTTTGAATATTTAAATATTCTATAAGATTAAGAAAAGTTCATAATTAAAGTTAATAACTTATATATAATATAACGATAGTATATTCTAAAATAATTAAAGCATAATAATTATCGTTAATAACTTGAATTATTAATAACTTTAATTATTATTATTTTGAACTATTGCCTAAATTCTATTTTTTTTTACATACTTTTCAATATAACTAAACTGAATTACTATGTACTAAATACATCAATGATGAATAATTATTTTCATGGGAAGCTGCATTAATACAACAGATTAAAATGAAAATATCAGCTCTTCACTCAAAACCACTTCATACCAGAACACTCACTAAACTCAGCCCCGCTCGCTTTACCAGCCGCTGTAGTCTGAGTAATTCTCCTGTAGCTCACAGCTGGTGGGCAGCCAGATATTTTATTATCTAAATTTGTTTTGTAATAACTTTGCATTATTGTTTTTTGTAGTTTTCAGTTATGAAAATACTTTCCAGTGTGTTTAATCACAGCAGTCACATCTGCACTACCATCACATTCCACAGCTACAGTTACTGTTACTGTTCTCTTCAGTCTTACAGAGAGAAGCTTCTGGAAACAGATTTGGTGCTGAGTCAGTTACACTGGTGCAGTATGATCAGTACTGAAACTGTATAATGATTGAGTGACTGACCTTCGACCTCTAGCTGGACATATGGCATGTCTTTCTCATCAGCTCTGCAGGTGTAGAGTCCAGAGTCCTCTTTAGTCAGATCTGAGATGAGGAGAGAGAAATTTCTGGAATGGTTCTGGTTGAACATCCAGACTCTGCCTCTGTAGGATTCTGTATCATTACACACTGCAGTCTGATCTTTAGTCCATGTGACTCTGTCAGGGTTGATCTTGTGTTGGTCTGTGGGACAGGGACAGGGCAGCAGAACAGACTCTCCTGGAGATCTGGAGATCGTTCTCTCACTGTCACTCAGCACAGCACAGCCTGCAGACCCACAAATACAAACAAACACATCATCACCATCTCAACAACAACACCACAGTAAACAGTTCTCTCAGTGGTCTTTACCACTGTTAACTCCTCTGTTCATATCAGCTGGATGTGAATCTGTCATTCATTCACTTGTTTAATGTTATTTCATTGGCTGGTTTGATGGGAAGTTGATCAGTCAGGGTTGTGCTTTGTTCCTGTGAATGTAGTTCAGTTTGAAAGCTTTTAGGAAACTTAGACACATGAACAAAAACATTTTCACCACTGCTGTGGAGTTTATATTACAGAGAAATCTAACATTAATTTCTGTTACAAATGGAGTAATTTAATAAAATGCAAATATTTTGGTGCAGAACAGCATCTCAGATGTTCTTCTCTTTTAGAGATCAATAACCACATCATCAAATATCAGTTTGAAGCGTTGGTCAAATCTAAACAGTCAGATGGTGATAATTATTTTTTAATCAGTTATCTGCTGATATGGATATTATTTTGTTATCATATTCCTGTAGCATTTATTAACTGTACAGTACAGTAATATTACACATTCAGTATCATCACTTTATGAAATATTACTGAATATTTGATGAAGCTCATGCACAGTTCACTGTTATGTATAGAAATGTCATTTGTATCAGTTATGAACGCTGTTTAAGTGTTACTGTGGTTTCAGTAATGAATGTAACATGTTGTCTTTGAGGATCATGTGCTTAGAATCATTTTTGTAGGTTGAAACAAAGAAATATACATTTTAATGAGTTCATGATCATATCTTCAGGTTTATACTCCACAGTGTGTTTTCAGATCATTACATGTTCATTTTTCATTAATGAATGAATTTAGTTAATGTTTTAAAGCTGAAATAATTGTAATGAAATGATATTGTACTGTTTATGATCATGAATGTGTCGTGTACATGTAGTTACTGTATATCAGTTAAGAGAATACTCAATTACTTTATTATAACTACTTAATAAGGTACTACGTAATAACTAATAATTAAAGAACACTTAACTAATACAGCAACGGGAAAATCAATGACATCAATAACATAACAATTTGTAGTCTTTAAAGAAAAGTGTCAGGTTCAAGAAGTAAAAACTGCAGTGGTGAAAGTAAAGAGGTGTAGGAACTGATGGAGGAAT